ATCCCCGCACCCCTAGATTGCTTGTTAACTCTTAAATTCTCCGAAATTTTAGTTTAATTGTGACAAATGATAACCAAGTCTTTTGATTAAATTGGTGAAATCATCCACCCACTTGTTCTTAGTATTACAAATGAGCAATTTTATAATCCAAATTTCCTTATAAGAATTCTCTACGATATACCATTCCTTGTGGGATTCGATCCCGACTCTTCGTTGGGTATTTATTGACTACGACTGTTGTCCCTTTTAATTGATTTTAAGGAGGACATTTGAGCGTTATCAATTATGTGAGTGATTCGGGTCGACCAATAATGCCTACATGTACGTGTTGTTTGTACTTATACTACTTTTGCTATGTCACTTGGCGTAGTCTGGTTGCAGGGTTGAGTAAAGTATCTTACCCCTAAGACAATGATAATCTCCGACAGCTTCTACTTCTCTTTCCTTATGGTGAGAGGCGTGTCTTCTTTTCTTTTATACATTGTTTATCTTAGTAGATGTTGTACCTATTTAGACTAGTTCCTTGAGAGGAATTTTTCGGTTATTTGTGAAAAGGTAATCCTTAAATCTGGAGTTTTCATGACTATTTCAATTATTAAAGAGCTTTCTTATGTTTTATTGATTTTTGCATTGCCCATTTTTAAATTGGGTGGTAAGAATTATCTTATCTAAATGTTAGAGTCGGTGCATGCATGATCCGATCAGTTGGATCGTGACAAAGAATCTCCAGCACCATTCTGCCTTTAATTTGCAATTTAATTTAATTTTATTTGATGAAAGTGAATAATTCTTGTTCCACTTGAAAGATAATTTTAATCAAGTAAAAGTTCGAAAGGGGGAAAATATTACTCTTCCCATTCCAATTTATGTGATATAGTTTGATTTCACACAAAATTTAAAATTAAAAATAAAGGATTTTTTTAAATTTTTGTCTAAAATATTTTATTAGCATTCATAAAATAATCATTTCACTATGGGTAAAATGAAAATTTTAAAATTAAATAGTTTTCAATTATACAAAAGTGATACAAGCAAGCCTCTCTCTTGTGACAACGTTTGTCTAAAAAAAATCATAGTTGATATAGGATGTATACTTATATTTGACGTTTAGATCTCATTTAGCTTTCATAAACAAGAATACGTAAAATTAGAAAAAATATAAATATAAAGAAGAAAATATCAATAGCCTTTTCTTTTGAAATCATAATTGATGGGCACCATTTAAATACATTTTTTCCTTTAGATATTTGTGCTAGAAATTTACTATGTGCATGACATTAGTGATGATTGACATAAATATTTTAATATTTTTTTTTATACATAATATATTTCTTATAAATTATTATTACAATATTTCTATATTGTTATTATAAAAAAGACAATTTTACAAAAAGTGTAGAGAAATAAAATATAATATAAAAATTGATTATGAAGAAAACAACACATTATTATAATGAAACACAATTATAACAAATGACCGTTATATAATGAAATATAATTATAACAAATGACCATTGTAAAGTAGTTTGGTTGTATTCATTTAAGGCTGGCAAACGGACCGGTTTTTGTCCGGTCCGGTCCGGTTCCCATACCGGTAAGACCGGTACCGGTTGAACCGGTCTTATAGGTACTGGAACCGGTACCGAAACGGAACCCGGATTTTTATCCGGTTGATCCGGTTCGGTAAGAACCGGTTCCGGTCCGATAAAACTAGTTCCGGTCCGGTTCAACTGTCAATTTAATTATTATTTTTTTAATTTTTTATTTTAAAATGTGAACGTTAAGAGCCGTTGGGCTGGGGCCCAAAACGGCTCCAAACAGCCCCCCACCCCTCTCTACCCCTTAACACTATAAATATACTCATATTTTTCATTTAAATCACAAATTCACAAACTATTTCATTAATATCTTATAAAATCTCTTAATTTTCAATCTCTCATAAATTCATAATTATTATTTTGTGATATTGACTTGGAGTTCGAATTTCAGAGATTTATTTGAAGTAAATCGGAAGCTTCAATTGGCATCTCTCAATTTCGGCTTTGGTTATACGTCTACTTTTACGTAGACATTCGGTACATTCGTTCCAACTTTAATTGTTGAAAGAATGGTTGAAAAGATTTATGCAAATTTAGAAATTAAAGATGATGAAACTCCTAGTGTTGAAGTTTGTAAAAGTAGCATATATATAAAAGCTAGAGAGTTATATAATACATATAAATCTATGGGAAAAAATATTCCAATAGTTGAACCTCCATCTTGTAAACCTAGAAGCGACGATACGGATGATTGGATGGATGATTATCTTGAGCTTGAATCATCTACTAATAATGATTTTGATTTATATTTCAATCAGGCACGGGAAAAGATTAGGCATGAAGAAGGACAACTTCAAGCTCCAATATTAATATGGTGGAAGAATCGTGAAAATCAATTTTCAACCCTTGCTAGGATTGTTCGAGATGTGCTAGCGATTCAAGCATCATCGGTCGCTTCGGAGCAAGCCTTTAGTGTGGCGAGATTTATGATTGGAGATCATCGATATTCATTAGCAAAGGATAGTTTGAAAATATCGGTGTTGTTTCGAGATTGGGTCAATGCCGAAAGAAGAAATACCGGACTACCACAATTAAATAGCCAAATAGAAGACGAAATAGATGAAATATTTGGTGATAATAGTGATGATGGTATGGAAGCAATGGAAGAAGAACGACAAATACAAGTTCCAAAAAATGTTTCTTTGAAATGATACAAAAGTTACGAAAAGATTTTAAAAAGAGTTTCAATTGTTAGTACAATAATTAATATTCAATACGTAGATTATGTACTCTTTGTCTCTTTCTAATATTTGTATTGTACAATTTATTTATTTGAATAAATATACGGCTATTCGCCTTGATTTTCTTTTAAAATAGTCTCTTATATTTAATCCAAGTCATTTTAGAAATTTAATTTTCAACTATTTTAATTATTAGTTTAAAGTTTAAACTTTAATATAAAATTGAATTTTAAGATTTAAACTTTAAATTCAATATAAACTTTAAACTTTAAACTTTAAAGTCAATTTTAAACTTTAAATTCAATATAAAGTTATAAACTTTAAAATTTAAAGTCAATTTTAAACTTTTAAGTTTAAAGTTTAAACTTAAATTCAATTGAAACTTTAAAGTAACTTTAAAGTTTAAAGTTTTAAATTGAAGTTTTTTAATAATATAATTTTATTAATTAATAATATATATTATATAATAATTAAAGTTAATAAAAAAATAAAAAAAATTACCAGTACAAAATGATCCGGTAAGAACCGGTTCCGGTCCGGTCCAAACCGGTTCCAATCCGGTAACTAAGGGACCGGATGGAACCTTTGAAAATTTCCGATAAAACCGGCTCCGGTAAGACCCGATTCCGGTAACGAAATCCGATAACGAGGACCGGTTTCGGTACCGGTTCCGATAAAACCGGTCCTGTTGATCCGGTCATGTTCGTTTGCCAGCCTTAACTATTCATTTCCAAATGGACTAAAAGGGGAGGCACCAATTAAGATAAAGTACTCTATTCACTTTACAAAGACTGCTAAATGGTACAACAGTACAACACGACTTACAAAATATTTTAGAGTAAAGTTTTTAAATATGTTTTGGGAAAAGTAAATGGTAATTTTGGGGGTAAAAAATGAGCTCAATTATATGTAACCTATTTAATTCGTTTAAAATTTTAAAAGTTAGACTCAAAATAATTTGAATTGAGTTCAATTTCAACTCATTCAAGTTTTAAGTGATTTTAAGAGAATCCTTAATTTGATCCAATTTAATTTTTAATTTCAACTCGTTTTAAGATTCTTTATTTGCATTAATGTAATGTATATTTCTATATTGAATGTATGAATTACAATATAGTTTATATCTTTTTAGATTTAACTATCCATTTATAACATCTTTTTTTTAAAAAATTCTTGAGTTGAAATTTAATTTGTGATTGTAAAAGTTAAATAATAACATATTAAAATTATTGAGATCAAGCGGGTCATGACACAACCTAACTTTTAGCTCATTTGAGCTCAAAGTAAACTTGAGCAAGTCAAGATTCAATTCAATTTTTATTTCAACCTATTTAAATATTTCAAATTTCAAAGCAACTCGCTAATTTGACCCTCCTAATATTCCTTGTCAGGGTACGTCACGGCACTTGTCATTCTCCATCATTCCTTGTCAGGGTACGTCACGGCACTTGTCATTCTCTATCCGCCAATCCCATTCAACGTAAAAATCATATTAATACCTCCAACCAAGACCAAACAAAAAGCTAAGTTTGACTCATCATAAATTTTGACTTACTGTTGATGTCACCCAAAAAATGTTGCAATATGCAAGTTGTGCATGTGTTTGGTAGTAAAGAAAAATAATTCTGGCATTTCATATTTGATTTATTAAAATATATATATATTTCAAAAAGTACTTTTACAAAAATGATTCTTCTCGTGAATGTAATAAAAACAAGTTCATGCACTTCTTATTAATGATTCGTTTGGTGAGAAGATTGTTCGTACTATATAGATGTATTATATTAAAGATTTGTATATCACAAATTATGTTTAATTTAATTTTTTATTGAATTAAAACTTGATAAACAAATATTGTATTTTTAAGAATATCTTTGCGATAGTGTATCATGCAATTTATAAACTTGTGCTTATTTGGTAGGATTGTATAAAGAATTGAGACAATTTTAATAATTTTACAACTTATGAGATTTTTATGTTAATGAGAAAGCATACAACATAAAAAGTTCAAATTGCATGTCCAAACAAAATTTCAATTTCATCTCGTGATTTCAAATAATGATTTCATATCGCACGATCAAACGAGGAATGTAAGGTTATAGTTGTGTGCGCCTAAAGAGGTATTAAATTCTGGGTGCCTGAGTTCCTAAGAAAATAGTGAGGGTGGAATATTTTAAAAAGAAAAGAAGAAGAGCAATGAATCTAAGCACAAAAGGGAGTAAGATGCTTCATTTTGGGGGCTGAGATGGTAGGTGGGAGAAAGAAAAAGCAAGAATGTGGACTAATTTGTGTGGCTCCACACTGCACACCAATTATATCTCACTTTATCCTTTCCTATAAATATCCATACCTCTTAATTATCAAGAAAGATTGTACTGTCACAAAATGGAAAACAAATCTGCTCTACTAACCCCTTATAAAATTGGAAACTTTCAGTTGTCTCATAGGTATTCTTCTTCCTAATTATTCATATAACAACCCTTTATGTTTGTGTTTTTTTTTTTTTTTTTTTTTTTTTTTTTTTTTGATAATTCAAAATAGGGTTCTCCTATTTTCAATTGATCAATGTTGTTCTTTCATTGTTTTGCTGTTACAGATTTCTTATTTGTGCAAATTTAAAAGATTCCCATGTTATAGCAACATCACTAATTGATGTCCACAATACTAGATGAAAAAATGATGAAATAAATAAATTGATATCCACAATACTCTTTGATTTGGTTAAAGCTTGAAATTCAATCAGATATGAACTTTTTCTTCCATAAAGTTAGAGTTGAGCTTGACTTCTCTTTATTTGTTTTAGTGATACTCCGAAGTTTTTCAAATTGTTGATGAGAAAATGGAGAACACAGACGGTGAATGTGTTCTTATATCCCTGGCATCATCTAGAGCTGCACTCTGTTAATTCTGATTAGTCGTATGTATTTGATGGATAAAGATGGTGTGGCTCTTATATTTAAAGTTGCAAGGGCATTGAATACCCAATATTATTCAAGGGAATTAAAATCTAGTATTATTTTGAGCAACTATCTCAAATATCTCGTCTATCTTATAATTTTAAGCACACTTCTTTTTGAATTGATGGACATTTTGTGAATTACTTCTTATTAGTAACACTTAATATATTTTGCAGAGTTGTGTTGGCGCCATTAACAAGGCAAAGATCATATGGCAATGTTCCTCAACCACATGCTATCCTTTATTACTCCCAAAGAACCACAAAAGGGGGTCTTCTAATAGCTGAGGCCACAGGAGTTTCTGACACTGCCCAAGGGTAACCACAATTTACCAAGTTCTCAATAAGTTTATAATTACGTTCTACATTCCTCCCGAATACTTTTTCTAAATTCGTCTATATGCCATATTGATTGAAGGTACAATGATACTCCTGGAATATGGACAAAAGAGCAAGTGGAGGCCTGGAAACCAATTGTAAATGCAGTGCATGCCAAAGGAGGAATCTTCTTTTGCCAAATTTGGCATGTAGGCAGAGTTTCCAACACTGGTAACTCACTTTTGACACTTTGACAGAATTAATGTATCACTAAATGTAACTTTTGTGCTTCTTGATCGACACCAATCTACAGGTTTTCAGCCCAATGGACAGGATCCTATCTCCTGCACAGACAAGCCATTAACACCTCAAATTCGTTCCAATGGCCTAGATGTTGCACAGTTTACCCCACCACGCCGCCTGGCAACAGATGAAATTCCTCACATTATTAATGATTTTCGGCTTGCTGCTAGAAATGCCATTGAAGCTGGTAAAAATTTCTTCTAAAGTTCACTGTTTGGTAAAATAGAATGATTTTAACATGTTCTATGTAGGAAAAGGTAAACGTTGTTTAAAATATGTGAACTCATTTCATATTGTATATGTTTGGAGTCTGCTACCCATATCATTTTCTTGGTTTCACTGACATATATGAACACTGAATTAGAACATTTGCTGCAAACAATACAACGGAGAGACAAGAAATGTTTTTGTAACCTTCGCAACATAATGTATACGAACAGTGTTACATATGCAGTCTAAGGGTGTGTTTGGTATGAAGGAAAATGTTTTTCATGGGAAGTGTTTTCCTAGAAAATGTTTTGTTGGAAAATAAGTGGTGTTCTTACTTAGTTTCTAGTGTTTGATTGGTGAGTGGAAAACATTTTCTTCCATACCGAACACACCCTAAGTGGCATTTCACTGGTGCTCTTCAGTGAATAACCAGAATGATTCACTTTTTGGTTATGTCCATAATGGATTTCTGTGAATAAGGAAATGAAATTAGGTCTAGACTTTTTAACAAACAACTTAAATCTTGCACAATATTTGCTGAAATAGGTGCTTTGTTAGATTAATTAATTGGGGAGTTGATCAGTTGTGATGTACAATCCTTTCATTGAATGACTTTCCATGTGCTATCACATCAGTATTGTCTTCAAACTAACACTCTTTCAAACCAAGTTTGTGTTATGTAATCTGTTCAATTTGTAGGATTTGATGGGGTTGAGATCCATGGAGCTCACGGCTATTTAATCGACCAGTTTATGAAAGACAAAGTCAATGATCGAACTGACCAATATGGAGGGTCTTTAGAGAACCGTTGTAGATTTGCACTTGATATAGTTGAAGCGATTGTAAATGAGATAGGAGCTGACAGAGTTGGAATAAGGCTTTCTCCATTTGCTGACTACATGGAATCAGGAGACTCAAACCCAAGTGCTTTGGGCCTTTACATGGTTGAATCCTTAAATAAGTATGGCATTGCATACTGCCACATGGTTGAGCCTAGGATGAAAACAGTTGGGGTAAAAGTTGAATGCCCTGAAAGCCTTGTACCCATGAGGAAGGCATTTAAAGGTACTTTTTTGGTAGCTGGTGGTTACGATAGAGGAGATGGAAACAAAGCTGTGCTTGAAGACCGAGCTGATCTTGTCGTGTATGGGCGTCTATTCTTAGCCAATCCAGATTTACCAAAGCGATTTGAGCTAGATGCTCCTCTCAACAAGTATATTAGGGAGACATTCTACATATCTGATCCTGTTGTTGGCTATACTGACTATCCATTTCTTGAAACCACGGCATGATGCCAAGGGTTATCAGATACTTCTTGTCTCACAAAAGAAGTAATCTATTAACAAAGATCACAAACATTTTCTGCACTTGAATTCCGTATGTTTTCATCTTATTTAATGATAAATAAATTCACTCTCTACCGATCATTGTGAGTTAATTCTTAGCTCTACATTTCGGCCAGTGAGGGCTTGATATACTAGGTGCATCGATCTATCTTCTATTATTATTAGTTACATCGAGTGTTTCAAATTTTTCTACACATGTATGTTCATGTATAAACACACTATGTTGTAGTATATGTGAGTATCAAATGAAATAAAATAACTACTTTTTGCAATTATGTTAGTAGATGAAGTTAAAGATATGCATACCATAAATATGGTTGAAACAAGCCTACAATAATAGAATTGGGAAAATGCATAAATTGCCCATGAACTTGTCCGAAAAGTAAGTTATACAACACTACTCTTACAATATGTGACGTATTACACTCATTGCCACATTAGCGATACTTCAACGCCATGTCATAAATTATAATATTTTTAATCCTTTTTGTTTTCTTTCTTTATTAATTAATTTTTCTTTTGTTATTTATATTTTACACTAATTAATTTCTAATCAATTGTTAAAATTCTCTAATAATTATATCTTCTTCATAGCAAAATTGCAAAGAAAACTTTCTGCAATGGCCTCCAAGAAAACTTTCTAAAATCCAAAGCTGATTTGTGGAGTGGAAGAATTCTTCAATTCCAAAATGAACCACAAGAAGACTACTTCAATTTCTTCCATTGATTAACCATGAAAACCGAACTTCCAATTGCAAAAGAGATCTGGGTAAGATGGGGGTGTACAAAGACTTTAATCCTACTTTGTATTACGTAAATAGGTTGTTTTCAACAGAACATGAACTGATTCTTGACAACAAAATTTAAGACACAACTGCAATGCAGTTTGACCAATGCATCTTCCAAGTATTGCAAGTGTAAAGTGTTAGGACCAAAATAATCCGGTATCGTGCGGAAGCTAGCAAAGCAAACCTCTAAAGACTATGAGTAAGAAGACAAACAATAAATATACCATAAGACACAAAGATTTAACGTGCTTCGATCAATCGACCTACGTCCACAAAGGAGATGAACAATCCACTATATAAATATGAGAGTACAAAATATAGAGAGAAATAATCTTACCCAATTCACTCGGAATAAGAAGAGGTTCACACAAGTGATAACGTATCACTTGTGTCTAACTGTTTCCCACCACACAAAACTCTCTAGGCCCTAGGACTATATTAAGAATGTTACTAAGTTAGAAGAAACGAGTCTCTATTTATAGAGTCCTAAACTTTTTCCTACAACAAAAGGACTAGCCTAATATGAAGATTTTCTATTTTCCATTAAGGAAAAGAAGAGCATATTTATAGTAAGAAACTCAGGTCAAATACCCAACATAAAGCACATACAAGAATGCAATAAGATTGTACCATCAAGCAATCAAATGCAAAAAGAGTAAGCATGTTATAGAATCATCAACAAAATCATAATCGTGCACATGAAAGACGCCAACAAAATACTTAAAAGAGTAAAACAATCTCATTTAGACCTATCTTTTGCCTCAGCTCAAAAATAAATGAATGTTAATATCCAGCAAGCTCAAAGAACTTGAAATAACTTCAAGTCTGCAGATATTTACACTGTAAACACATACACACATCACCAGGCTGGAATTCAATCATCAAATACGACACTATACACACAATTAATTACTCCGAGAGTTCAATTAACACCTCACGCAGTGATTAAGATTTTACACAGGCAACACACTCTGCAGGGGGGACTCTATTCATTCACAACATCAAGTTTGTTATTTTCAATTTTGATGATATGACAAACCATGAGACCTTGTAAAGGGACCTAATCCTTGTGTCGTTGTGTATACAAATGACAGGCTGTAAAAGTACAATTAGTTGGTGCACAGTCTCCAACTGTGGCAGAAACCTCGGCCAATGGTATGGCCTCGAAGGTTGTGTCTATCCTTCATAAGGGTTTCCTCAATAGACATAACCTTAGTTTTTGCATCTTGAAAATTCTAAAGAACACAAGCAAAGACCCATCTTGGTGAAGTATTCTCCAAAAGCGCAACAGGGACCTGATCAAGCTGCAAGTGTCATAGTTGTCTTATGAGTTATACTTTCATGCTTACATTGTAAATTTGTTCCTAATCTATAAAGAATTTAGATCTTTTGTTCTTTCTGTAAAAGTCTAAATCAGATAGAGTTAACTGATTTAGTGGGCAGTGTTGTATCTGCTTAGTCAAATTCTAAATCACCTAGGAGCTCGCTGGTTTAGTGGGTAGTGTTGTATCTGCTTAGTTGAAGTCTAAGTTATCTAGGGTTGATAGCTTAGTGGGCAGTGTGGTACAGGGGCGAAGCTACAGTGATTGGACACCCTTCGTCGGAAAATTATACCGTACACCTAAGTAAAATCCTATTCAAAATGGTTAAATTTAATACTTTGGACACCCTTGTCATAATAAGCTATTATGGCTCAGCGGTTGGAGGCTCTCTTGTAGAGCTTTGACGCGCAGGTTCGAATAAATCTATAATTTAAAAATCTAATAAAGCTTATTGAATTTTCAATGAAGTTGATTTTTTATTTCTTTTCATTAAAGTTTGAAATAAAATTCTGATATTTGTATAACGCTGTTAAAAGCAAGTCATTTTTTAAAGAGCTCATATTTTATTATTCCTTTAATTGTCTAAGAGTTAGTAAATTTCTTATAAATCTTTAACTTAAAAATCTAATAAAGCTAATTGAATTTTCAATGAATTTGATTTTTTATTTCTTTTCATTAAAGTTTGAAATAAAATTCTAATATTTGTACAAAGCTTAAAAGCAAACAAAAGAAGACCTCATTTGCTTCTACCTCCATTTTTCGTGTCTCGATATTGTTGTCGTCACTAGAGATTTGTGTAAGTTTGAAACTTAAAAATGATTAAGCTACATATCATGCGATTTGATTTTTAAAATTTTAGAACATTTATTCATAAAAAAATATTAATAGTACATAGTTCGATTTTGAATTTTTTAGTGTGTCCATTTATAAAAAAAAATTGTTTATATAATTATTGGACACCCTTCGTGAAATTTCTAGCTACGCCACTGGTGTGGTATCTGCTTAGGCTCAGTAAGTAATAGAGTTATTACTTAGCTTTGAGATTAAGAGGTTAATCTTGTTTGGGGTTGTAATCTGTGCTTCACTTTTGCTTGAAGAAATTAGTGAAAACAGTTGAAAATCTTGTGTAACAGGTCGTGATTTTACTCCCTTGAGCAAGGAGGTTTCCGTGTAAACTGCTTGTGTTGTTTTCCTTTCATTGTTCATTCTTCATTACTGTTCTTGCTGAGTCAAGGGACCTAGTCCGTTGACTAATAGTGGACACATATATTCTATCAAAGTCACAAGCACACACCACTCTCAAATAGACTCCACAAACAATCCGTGTCAGTGCTGTCACCACCAGACGTCCCAATAATTCTCTTGTAAAGGAATGACTTCTTTATTTTATAGAATATGCCTTGTAAGAAAGTATAATAACGATAAGATAAGTAATTAAGGACTTCTACTAAATTTTGAAAAGTTTATATATACAAATAAGTTCTGACTCTTTACTTTCAATGTCGCTCCTGTGTTGACACGACGTGGGAGTGGGTATGGATCTGTACCAAATCTTGTCAATCAATTTTGAGTACTTTGATCGAAAATGGCAGAGAAATTCAGGAAAATACAATGATTTGTGTAATAAAAACAAAAGCTAATGTAAAATTGAAGCAAATTAAATACCTTGTATGTAGACGTTTTTATGTCAATTCTTTTCCTTACATCTCTATATGAGATTCTCCTCGAAATACCTTGTTAGTTTTCCTCATAATGTCGCATAATTTAGATATATATCAGCATTTTCAAATATCTGAATTATTTTGAGCCGAATCTTGGTACGCATACTCGTTCATGAATCCATATCTACAAACTTAAAATTTAGACCGTGAAAGATCTAATCTCTAGATCCGCATCCCTATCGAAACACCCACACCCGAGTCTGAACAACCTAATTAGGATATATGTGTTTTTGCTTTTTTTTTTGTAATATGTTATGAATGAAGAAAAGTTTCTGCTGAACCTTATTTTCCCTCGCGATGCCTTCGGTTCTTTCTTCTTCATTTCATCATTATGTTGTGTTGTTCCAAAAACTAAGCATAAAATTTCTGGAGTAGGGGTAACTTGGTTGGCGGTATATTGCAGAATACGCAGGAAGCTTCTGTTGAGAGGATGAAACACGAGTGGAAAACTGTTGTTGTGGTTGAAAATAGGTAGAAACGTTCTGCTAGTAAACTGTTCCTGAGAAGAATTGCCTGAACTTGAGTTGTGATCTGATGTAGGTAATTTCTTTTAAAGATTTCCTCTTACCATTTGAAGATATGAACATTAATCCAACTTTTAATACTTCACTGCCTTTATTACAACGAAGAAATTACTCAAATGATATATAAGTTCAACGTGGATATTAGTTAATCTCATCTTACAAACCCCCTACATCCAGAAAAAGAGTATCATATCTAGTGCTTCCTCGGTGTCATATTGTGGTTTCTAGAAATGGATAGTCAGTATAGCCAACAACAGGATCAGAAGTATAGAATGTTTCCCTGTTATACTTGTTGAGAGGTGCATCAAGCTCAAATCTCCTTGGTAAATCCGGATTAGCTATAAACATACGTCCATATGCAACAAGATCAGCTCAGTCTTCAAGCACAGCTTTGTTTCCATCTCCTCTATCGTAACCACCAGCTACAATAAAAGTACCTTTAAATGCCTTCCTCATGGGTATAAGGCTTTCAGGACATTCAACTTTTTCCCCAAGTGTTTTCATTCTTGGCTCAACCATGTGGCAATATGCAATGCCATACTTATTCAAGGATTCAGCCATGTAAAGTCCCAAAGCACTTGGATTTGAGTTTCCTGAATCCATGTAATCAGCAAATGGGGAAAGCCTTATTCCGACTCTGTCAGCTCCTATCTCATTTACAACTGCTTCAACTATTTCAAGTGCAAATCTACAACGGTTCTCTAAAGACCCTCCATATTGGTCAGTTTGATCATTGACTTGGTCTTTCATAAACTGGTCGATTAGATAGCCATGAGCTCCATGGATCTCAACCCCATCAAAACCTACAATTGAACAGATTCACATAAGCAAACTTAGTTTTGAGTAAAGGTTCTAATTTGAAGGCAGTGCTGATCTGAAAGAACAGGAGAAGATATTCAAAGCACACTCTTAAAATACATAATAAATTTACATATTTGACAAAAGTTAACCTCTTCCCACATAGTAAATAAGTCCCAGAATATGCGTGTGCTTTTCATTCTTAGCTTTCAAACTCATGATCCATTTTAGCACTTGCTGACTTTGTTTTTTTTTTGTCTTTGGTTTCATCTAATGCATATGGTAAATATGGAAGGAAGATTTTCTAGTCCACAGTTTCAGACAGAATTAAACAACTTTCCTTCATAATAGAGAACATGTCTAGTAAGTTTTACCAGTTTCAATAGCATTTCTAGCAGCAAGCCGAAAATCGTTAACAATTTGAGGAATTTCGTCTGTTCTCAACCGCCGTGGTGGTGGAAATTGTGCAACATCCCGGACATCAGAACAAATTAAAGGTTTTGATGGCTTGTCTGTGCAGGAGATAGGAGCTTGTCCATTGGGTTGAAAATCTGTGGTAAGAGTCGGTTAAGAAGTTGGAAGCATCAAATGTGAGTATATAAAGTGAGTTAGTTAACTACCTTTGCTAGAAACCCTCCCTGTATGCCAAAGTTGGCAAAAAAAGATTCCTCCTTTGGCATGGACTGCACTTACAACTGGTTTCCAGGCCTCAACTTGCTCGTATGTCATGGGCAGTGTCAGAAATTCCACAGCTACTCAGGCTATTTATAACTTTTTCCAAAATTTTGCCCAAAATCCAATACATGACCGATTGGGCGACATTAGTCGGGCTCGCCAATCACAATGGACGGATCGCCAACTGCTTCTCAACTCGCCTTTCTCTTGCTCTAGGCTTCAGGTGTTTGAACCTCAGTCAATGAGCTCGTTCAATTCTGCCTTTCACACTTGGTGAATCTCCGAGTACCACCTTTGTTCGCCTTTCGAACCTTCAATTTTTCTCTTTGTACTGTCACCTTTGGAAATGACCATCATGTTTTCCTTTCTCATTCGGCGCATTGTCATTTCCCTTTTTGTTCGCCGACCTGCCTCAATAAATTCAAGTGTTGTGCATTGTTACTTTAGGTGAGGTCAGTCTCATAGGAAATTTGCCCTTCTTGCTAGGCGATCAACAATATGGAGTTTACACTTCTTTTCATATTTTGATCATTCTTTCGAACATTCATCCTTGTCTTGTCCTTTAGCCTTCATAGCTGCAAATAACCACAATATCATTAGAATAGGACATAATTAGGCATTGAGGACACTAATTATTGAACTAATTAGGCATCGACCTCATAGAATCATTTCATCTCATGTATGAATAGCAGCAAAATCGAGCATAATACAATACACACTACATTAAATCAACACCTGACTCCATAATTGCACCCCTTGATTTGGGGTTTTAGTCACCCATCATAAAGGGTAAAGAAATAATATCTTTCATGAAAGTAGTCATGGGTGACATGAATTAACAAATTAAAAGCAAACCCACTTTGAATTCAACTTCAATTTATCAATTTCAAGAACAAAATTGAAAACCCCAAAAAACTAGAAAGTGTTCTTCACAAGGTAAAGTTTTTCTCTCTCTCACTATTGTTCAAAACATTTCTATTTTTGAACTCTTGACTTCTCTCTCCTTTGGGCTATTTATAATTTCCCCAAAATTTGTCCCAAAAATCAATACATGACCCATTGGGCGACATTAATTGGGCTCGTCAATCACAAAGAGCGGATAGCCAACTGCTCATCAACTCGCCTTTCTCTTGCTCTAGGCTTCAGGTGATTGAACCTCAGTCATCGAACTCATTCAAGTCTGTCGTTCACACTCGGCGAATCACTGAGTACCACATTTGTTCACTTTTGATGCCTTTAATTTTTCTCCTTGTACCGTCGCCTTCGGCGATTGTCAACATTTTCACCTTTCTCATTTGGTGCATCAGTATTTCCCTTTTTGTTCGCCGACCTGCCTCAATAAATTCAAGTGTTGGGCACTGTTACTTTAGGCGAGGTCAGTCTCATTAGACAATCCTAACTTCTTGCTAGGCGATCAGCAATATGAAGTTAACACTTATTTTCATATTTTTTTACCCTTCTTTTGAACATTCATCCTTGCGTTGTCCTTTAGACTTCATAATTCCAAATAAACACAATATCATTCGAATAGGACATAATTAGGCATTGAGGATACTAAATGTTGAGTTAAATAGGCCTCAAATGAGTGTAAATCTATCACTCATCAGAAAACTTAACAATAACACGTCAATTTCAAAAACTCTCAAATATAACTTGTATGTTTAAACACCTAAAGGACATATTATTTTAAATACTTTCTTCTACTTAATGAAACATGTATAGAAACTAATTGTAGCACCGTCAGATCTTTATGAACATCCTTTAGTTTAACTTACCTTTCAAATGTCAAGTTAAGTTCAAGTTTATTCGGAAAGTATATAAAGTTCTAAGAGGCTTTTATATGTTATACGAAAGTGTTATGAGATTAAGAGACTAATAGTATCAAAGAGCTAAAATTGGCTAAGTTCTTATTATGGCATACTATATACATTCATAGTTCATATCATGTCATCTTATATGCATCAACTCTGAGCTATATCTAAGGAAATAGGGGCCTATTTTCCCACAAGAATATGTCTATGGTACAGATGACCACAAGTTGACAACTACGATGTCGGTTAGCTACCAGAAGAGAGTATTTGGTTGGGTATGATATGCATTATATGTGTGTGTGTGTGAGAGAGAGAGAGAGATAGAGAGAGACTAATCTTCTAAGTTAAATTGGATTTGATTTTCAACTCAATATTCTAAGATTATAATTTATATATTCAAGAACTATATACGAAAAAAACTATAGGTTGCAATTCTTCTCATTTATATGATGAAAGACTATATCTAAAAATATTTTCAAAGTTCACATAGTTTGAATTTCCGAAAACAAAAAATGTCACATTAATTGTAACAAAAGGAGCACACTGGTAATTTGATAATCACCAATATCTTTCAAGCTAGCTAGTAAATCTCATTTTTCATGAATATTTACCTATAGAAATATCTTTCCTTAATAACCTTATATATAATGATGTTGTATATAACTTAAATTTATGATTTAATTTTATGATATCGTTATAAATTTTGAACGCACTTTTGTGGGACAAGACATAAGAATCCCCCCCCCCCCCCCCCCCATCTGAATCATGACAAAATCCTCAGATACACACAAATTATGTGAGGGTCCTATTATTTTTTCACTTAATTTTTCTATATTATTTATACCTCTAAACTATCTGAGGGTCCTATTACCCTCTTAACATAATTGTCAAAATTGCACTACTTTTTGTGTTTAAAATGTTAAGTACACTTTTGCACTCATTTTTGTATTTATGAAACTCCATGAATCATTCTGATATTTAAAAATTATTCTTGATAATTTGCACATGTTTCCTTTGTTTACGAAATTGTCATGTACTTGTAAAGCTATTGATACTTTACACAAGTTCCTTTAATTTATTTGGCAAATAAAACTGGATCAAAAACTACAATTAGACACCAAAATAAATTGGACAAAATTAATTCAAGGGTTTAAATAATATGGAATAATTAAGTTTAGTGGGTAATAGCACCCTCATATAGTTTAGAAGTGTAAATAATACATAAAACGTAAATTCAAAGGGATAATATGACATTTCCATAATTTAAATGTATAATTAATAATTTTATGAAAATTCAAGGGGGTTATTATGCCTTGTTCCTACTTTTATTTTGTAGTACACATAGTTACTACATACGTACTATCCAAAAAACATTTAAATGAGTGAACAAGTGGTCGCTGACTCACCCCGTACACATATCTTTCGTCAGCATGACGTAATATGAACAAATATGGATCTCAATTAGCCAGTACAAATACAAACAGAGCTAATTTGAATTTACGATGCGCAGGATCCATTCGAGAGAAGCGCTGCCAAATAAAGAAAGATAATAAATAAATTTCCACTTTGAGATATCCGATTGGAGAAGACTAATCCCTTAAAGGAAAAACATTAATGATAGTGAAAATATTTGTTATCTTTTATTATTGATATAGAAAAAAAATTAATTTCAATATCATAAGTATCAGATTTAAGACTAAATAAATAAATAAAAATTCGGTCAATGCATATTTTTTATTAGTTACAAAGTTTTAAAATCACTTACTAATTAACTTTGTATTTGGTCAAACTAAGATCCATAAAATGAACCAAATATGGAAAATAATTTACAATATGTTAGTCTTCATTTATCTTTTTCAAATCTTGAAACAAAGTACAAAAGGATAGTGCCCCCGATGCATGTATATAAGCACATAGATATATTACTTTTCCTTACAAATTCATACATTATATTCACATTTCGCATCAACTATTATTTTCCTCCCCTCCTTCATATAAAACCCTTTCTCTTCTCTCAAGTATTTTTGGTTTATAAATCCTAATTTGTAACAAATGGAGGGTCATCTTCATCAACCACAATTTACAAGTAATCAACAACAACATAACATACCCAGTATATTTTCACAAGTGAATTATATGAGTGGTGGAATGCATACATCCTTAGCCCAACCTTGTGAAGGTGTGAATATTAATACAAATGGTGGAGATAAGTTGTTCGAACAATGGAGCTTTGTACAGCCAACTGATTCCTTGATGATTCAAGATCAACATCAGTTTAAGAGTCATCAAGATCTGAATATTAATACAGGTGGTGGGGATAAGTTGTTTGCACAATGGAGTGTTGTAAAGCCAAGCGATTTCTTGATGAATCATGACAAACAACAGTTTATGAATCATCAAGGTGCTAATACTGATACAGGTGGCGGAGATAGGTTGTTTGCACAACAAAGTGTTGTAGAGCCATGTGATCTCTCGATTACTCAAGATTGGCATCATAACCAACATCAGTTTATGAATCATCAAGATGTTAATATAAATTCAAATAGTGCACATGAGTTGTTTCCACAACAGAATGATATAGAGTCAACCGCTGCCTTGATGATTCAGGATCAACATCATGATCAACATCAATTTATGAATCATCAAGGTGGTCATACTGATATACGTAGTTTAGATGAGTTATTTGCACAATGGAGTGCATTCATTCAGGATCAACCTCATGATCAGGTTAAGTTGATGAGTCATCAAGGTGTTAATATTAATACAAGTAATTCACATGAGTTATTTCCACAACAGAATGATATAGAGCAAACTGTTGCCTTGATGATTCAGGATCAACATCAATTGATGAGTCATCAAGGTGGTCATACTGATATACGTAGTTTAGATGAATTATTTGCACAATGGAGTGCATTCATTCAGGATCAACCTCATGATCAACATCAGTTGATGACTCATCAAGGTGTTAATATTAATACAAGTAATGCACATGAGTTAATTTCGCAACAGAATGATATAGAGCCAACGGATGCCTTGATGATTCAGGATCAGCGTCATGATCAAC